GTTGATGTGTCTCTCTCACATCGATGTTCTCTCTCTCTCCCTCCCTCCCTCCCACTCTACCTGAAAATCAATGGGAAAAATATTCTTGGGTGACCACTGTTAAAAAATAAATAAATAAAATAAATGTTAATGTTAAAGTATTTTTACTCAATAAAGAATTAATCAATCACATCACAAACTCCATATGCTGATCTGAAAAGAGAGGACAGAACTCAAGCCTGCAGGTTTGATCCAATAATTCATACTTACACTTCTAATGTTCTTGGTTAGCTCTTCTGTCAAGAAAGGCAAAGGAAATTTTAAATATTCATTAGTATTTAGTCCGTACATGCAAGTTTGACAGATCAGAGGGAGCAGACACTTTAGAAGAGGTAAGACTATATGCACAACACCCATTGTTGCTTTTAATATTTGATTCTTGGGGCTGTGACCAGGGGACCACTGACCTTGTCTTATGCAGTGAAAGTAGATGGCCTAGAAAAGCAAAATGTGAAGTAAGCGGGAGCTGCTCAATATAAACTAGAGGTTGCAAGGTAGCAAACAACAGACTTTCATTTATTTATTTGTTTTGGCTCATCTAAGGTTTAAAAATATAATAAGCCAACCTTTAAGATTTGAGGGAAAACCATAGTTCTGACTTTAAAAAAATTAGAAGGCATCACCAGACCTGCTTCCCTCCCGGGCAGCAATCTGCTGGAACCGAGTAAGAGCCTCCCTTCTAGACCAGCCATATTGCTCCCACTTGTCATTGAGTGTACGTCGGTGCTTCTAGTGCAGTGGAGTCTCCTTTATTCTTTAATTAATGGCTCTACAGGAATTGGAATTTGTCCCAACCATGAAGCCTGTGGGCATTGTTTTCAAAATACTCACAATATAGCACCTGCAGTATTTCTGAATATATACAGGTTCCTGGGACCTGCACTGGACTTGCTGAGTCAGAAAATCTCCAGGGCAATCTCAGCCAGTCAGCATTTTTTAACAAGCACTCTGCATGACTCTCATATACAATGTGCATACATGAGGACCACTGTGTAAAGTGTTTCTCGTTCACATCTAAGGAGATGGTGGCATTGTGATCTGTGGAGCGCAGGTGCAGACGAGCTCAGTGCTCCCCTGCCAGCAGCACCGTGGCTGCAGTTACAGGAATTGGTATGTTCGGCTCCTTTTGTGAAGCACATGGCAGTAGTCCAGTCTGAACGTTCTAAAGCCAGTACACTGTGTGGTCTGCCTCCGACTGGAGAGGATGCATCCCATGGTAATTATGGATGGGAAAGATTCAAGTTTCATATAATTCACATGGTGACGTGCATGCCAGGTTAGGAATCTCCATTGTGTGATCCAGTGTACCCTTCCTTAACCCAGACTGCTACTGAACCAAAACTAACCCTCTTCATTTAGCATTTACACACAGACATGTGTGCGTGTATGTGTGGGTATAAAATTAAGTTTTAGTTTTGCCACAAATACCAATTATAAGGGAAGGCTAAGTGTTAGTATTGGACTTAACTGTCTTTTGTCTGTCTGTGTGGATTTTTTTTAACACAAAAAGCATCTCTATAATTCCTCTCCTCACCCCTCCTTTCTGTTAACTGTTGTTATGATTTACTGACTCATTGAGTTTTGTCTTGCTCACTCATCTGATTGACGCACATGGTATATTCTGTTACTCTGAAAAAAAAAAATAATGAGCAACTTTAAATTGTCAATGAACCTAAATATAAGTTGATTGGGGTGTGTAGCCATCAGTGCTAATGAATATTTAAAATTTCCTTTGGCTTTCTTGGCAGAAGAGCTAACCAAGAACATTAGAAGTGTAAGTATGAATGATTGGATCATTATAACTGGCCTGAGAAACAGACCTGAGCAGCTGCAGTGGTTTCATCTCTTGAAGCCAGGGTTTTACCTTCAGATGCCAACTGGTGTTCCCCAAGGATGCTGGATGGTCTTCCAGTGTTTGGAAGCCATCATCTATCATGAAAACCATTGCAGCCTGCTTTCCAATTTCAACCCTTAGAGTGGCTTTGCTAGTCTTAGGCAAATTGGTTGGCATTCTCTACAGCATAGGAAGAAAAGATAAGAATGTACAACAGTGGTCTCACCAGCTGCTCAGATTTGGAAATAAGGGTGGCAGTGACTTCCAGAACTCATCTTATACTATGAAAAACACTGAAGTCACCAGAATTTAAAATGAAGAACATTGAGTCAACTTCTCTTATTGATAGATACGCTTTCAATTAATCACAAGTAGTAAGAAGTCAATTTTCATCAATGGTTTGGATTTCATGAACCTAATAATTATGTGAATAAAGCTATCTGTGCTATGTGAAAATAATAGAGAAATATTTCCAGTTAGATTTACAAAATACTTTGTCAGTCAAGCCTCCTACAATTCTCCTACAGCTGGAAAGATGTCAGTGAGATTAGTGAATGTTCACTTTTCTAGCTTTTTTTTATTATTATGAGTGTAACAGTCCTCGTACCTACACCTTCACAGCTTCCCACAGAGAGCAACCAGTTGTATAGACTGGGCATCACATTGGGAAGCCAGTACTGAAAATGTATCTGTTTGAACAAATATGTTTTAAAAGCCAACAGGAATAGTTACCTGCCTGGTTCAAGAGTGTGGAGGGCAAGTTTTTTTTGTTTGCTTTTATTTATTCTTTTGAAATTCTTTATATATATATATATATATATATATATATATATATATATATATAAAGAATATATGTATGTGTGTGTGTGTGTGTGTGTGTGTGTGTGTGTGTGTATATATATATATATATATATACTCCTCACCCAAGGGTATTTTCCATTTTATCATCAGATAGAGTGGGAGGGAGGGAGAGGGAGAGAAACATCGATGTGATAGAGCCATATAGCCTAGTTGCCTCCTGCACGGCCCTGGTTGGGTTGGGAACAAACCACAACCGATATACATGCCCTTGACCGGATTGACTGGAATCAAACCAGCGACTCATTGGTCCGCGGGCCAGTGCTCTAACCACTGAACAAACTGGTCAAGGCTGGAGGGCAGGTTTTGAAGCGGTACCCAAATATGGGCTGAAGCCTCATGTTCTCATTTTACAGACCCATTAACATTTAATGTTTTTGGGCTAATCAGTTCAAAAAGATTTGTCAGAAGAAGAACAAAGGGAAGACAATCTTGTATTGACTGGGAAAATACTCAAATTGAATATATTAACAAGATATTCCAGAAGCTCTAAATTGATAGAAATATAAAGGTGATGGGGACCTACCCAGTAGATTAAATGGTGAAAGAATGTCCTATATTCATGGAAGATGTTAATACTTTGGTCCTTTACAATAACATTTTCCATTTTAGATTTTTCGCCTTTAGAATTCTTCAAAATATGTGGAATTATGTAAAGACATAGGTTAGTTTGAGAATTGTAGGTACTACTATGACAGACTTTATTTTTCAAAGCTACCCCTCATAAATTTCATCACTCAGGAGTGTGTGTAGCCAAAAGAACTCAGGTACACACTGTGTGTCCAGGGCAAATGCTGTCAATGAAGAGACCTCATTCTCCTTATAACTTGCAGCTTCCCATTCTGTAGCAGCTTGCAGGGTGTATATAAGATTTGGTCCTTGTCCTCAACAGGTTTAAAGTCTTGTTGGGGAGACGGTATATGTCTAATGTACTTGAACAGCTTTTCCATTAGGATGCAACTTAGTGATCAGGAAATGGAAGAGACCAAAAGTGGCGTGAGATTTAAGATTGATTTAATTTTGGTCATCTCTATTACTCTTTCAAAATACTATTTTTAAAATTGATATGATTTTATAAAGGAGGGGCGTTGTAGTAAAATATGTGTTTTACTAAGTGACACAACAAGGTATAGTGGAATGGGGGCTGCACTAGAACCCAGAAAAATCTGGGTTCTTGTCTTACTTTCCCCACTGAGTAGCTGGGAGGCTTCTAAAAAGTCACTTATCTTCTTTGAATGACAGTTTCTACATTGGTGTGTGTGTGTGTGTGTGTGTGTGTGTATGTGTGTGTGTAATACTGCCTCCTGAACCTATCTTATTCACATTTGTGAAGAGAAAGTCAAATTCAATGCTATAAAAAAAAAAAAGGCAACATCATTATGAAACAACTGATTTCATCAAACTAGCGCTTGAAGTTGTTTTAAAAATACTTGTCATTTATGCTCTGAGAGTTGCATTTTGTGCATAGACCCCTGATAACTTGTAAATAGGAACTTCATGTAATGGCATTATAAAAATAATACTGTAAGATTATATTATATGGTATTATCTCACTTGATTGTTACCAGCATGATATTTAGAGCAAACATGATTATGTCCACTTCATATGTTTAAAGAAACTACAGCTCAGAGGCTTGCAGTGCCTTAGTCTAAGAAGGTGGAGGAGCTCAGCCTGGACCCTGGTATTTCTGACCTTTAAAGCAGTGTTTTTTTCCAAAAAAATGTTGCTGCCAATACCTTGCCAGATTACATAAAGGAAATTAGGCTTTTACAGAACTGAGTGAAACAGGAAGGTGTGAAAATACTGCTATCCCTCTTGAAGATCTGGCCGAAATAGCCCTGGCCGGTTTGGCTCAGCGGTTAGAGCGTCGGCCTGCGGTCCTGAGAGACCCGGGTTCGGTTCCCGCTAAGGGCACGTACTTCGGTTGCAGTTTGTCCCCGGCCCTGGTTGGTCGTGCGGGTGGCAGCCACTCGATGTGTCCCTTCACGTCGATGTTTCTCTCTCTCTCCCTCCCCCTCTATCTGTACAAAAAATGGAAAAATATCCTCGGGTGAGGATAAAAAAAAAAAAAAAAAAGATCTGGCCGAAATAACTTCAATAAGTCTTAATCAAAATGAAAACATACTTCGAATGCTCAGATATTGTTTTAAAAATCCACTTTCTCTTAAATAGTGTCATTTCCCAGCAAGGTGCCATTTTTCCCTAGTAACTGCAAGTCACAGATTCTATTTGTGAAGAGTGTTCATTGTTTCCCGGTCTCTCTTTTAGCAACAGATCAACTCCTAGCAACCATGATCGAATACAGCGTCTACGGCAGGAGTTCCAGCAAGCAAAGCAGGATGAAGATGTAGAAGATCGGCGACGCACTTATAGCTTTGAACAACCCTGGGTAAGTATTTGGTTCTTTGGCACAATGCATAGTCCTGCAACTTTCTGCAGTAAAAGCCACTAAGCTATGACCTCAGTCCTTTATGAAGCGAGACAAGATGGAGCCAGATTCCTCTGACCTTTAACATATCGACCTTTCCCTCATTTCCATCTGGGTTTCATCATTGCTAATTTCATTTAACTTCTTGTTGCACCATCTGTCCATTGCACAATAGGTTTCATTTACCTTATGACAAGATATAACAAAACTATTCTTGCTCTCAATTATGCATTTTTAAGTTCAGTAAATGTTTTTCTATATATATTTTCTTCAGAATCAGAGCCACAATAAATTAGCTCAGTGCATGTCTGTTGAATATCTACTATATGAAAGTACAGTATTTAATAATCCTTATTTCTTTATTCTTCCACAGCCTCTTTGTGTATTTGCTGAATCCCTCTTGGTTATCTGCTTCTATTCTATTCTAATTCATCCTCCACACAACCACCAGAGTGATCATTCTTAAATAAAACTTTGAATGGCATATGAATGCCCACAGGATACAATCCAAATTCCACAGTGTAGCATGCTAAATCTTCCTAAGTTTTTCCCCAGACTTGTACTTCGATCTTGTGTTTTGCCTTAGAGATGATGACACTTCTGGGAATGGGAGGTGTTGGAGCAGACTTGGGGGTTCAAGATGATGGGAATTTTGAAGAATCTATCTGGAAATTTGAGAGAGAGACAATTAGAGATGAATAAATAGGCTGCTGAGGCAAGAGAATCTCACTGAGGGTTTTAGTAAGGTCCCATCAATGTGGTAATGTGACCATAACCAACTATGCTTAGAGGACTTGGAAATAGAAAAAACAAATTTTTAGCTTTATACTTTGAAGGAGATTGGCAAGTGAGACATCACAGGAAATCGAAGAAGGCACTCAAAAACCCTGGTGAGGCCCTGGCTGGTTTGGCTGGTGGTTAGAGCATCCGCCTGCGGTCCTGAGAGACCCGGGTTTGGTTCCCGCTAAGGGCATGTACCTTGGTTGCAGTTTGTCCCCGGCCCTGGTTGGTCGTGAGGGTGGCAACCACTCGATGTGTCCCTTTCACATCGATGTTTCTCTCTCTCTCTCTCTCTCTCTCTCTCTCTCTCTTCCTCTCTCTGTCCCTCCCACTCTACCTGAACAAAAAAAATGGAAAAAGTGTCCTCGGGTGAGGATTAAAAAAAAAAAAAAACAAAACCCTGGTGAGGATGCAGGTGAAGCGTCACTCAGTCTGGGTAGGGTGGTAAGTACAGCTCAAGGAAGGATCACCCTGATTGCCTAGGAGGATGGTCAGCTGTCTAGGGGTCATACAAGCTAGAAGGCTGTTGTCAAGACAGTATATTTTTGGGAGGCCAGGATCTTGGAGGTGGTCCAGTTCTAATTGATGTTTGAGGTCCAAGGTGTGCCATCCATGCATGTGCATCCATTGTTTTTTTAATGTTTTTTCTTTCTTTATTGATTTTAGAGAGAGAGAAAGGGAGAGAGAGAGAGAGAGATGGAGATATTGATGAGAGAGAACATCAATTGGCCACCTCCTGCATGCCTCCCACTGGGGATCAGGCCCACTACCTGGGCATGTGCCCTGACCAGGAATCAAACTGGCGACCTCTTGGTGCAGGGGTCAACGCTCAACCACTGAGCCACACCGGCCAGGCAACATGTGCGTTTATAGAGGAGAGAGTAGCTCAAAAAAGTTGACTAGTTCAGTTCAAAGTTTTGGGAATATAATTATAGTAGATAGAGTAGGGGCAGGAAAAAAAAAGGAGAGTATTAGGAAAGTCTTGAAATAAAAAAATGATTTTGTTGTGTTTGGGGAAGGGTAAATGACCCAGCTGACGCAGAACTGAGAGGTTGGTGATGTAGAGAAGAAGAGAGAAAGGTAGAAATACAGTGGGAGCCGTTAGTGTGAGATTGAAAGTTTGAAAAAGAATGGAATCAGGACAGAACACTGGTGACCTGGCTCTGCAGGCCTCATTTTTCTTATCTGTAGACCAAGAGGGTTAGGTAGATGACTGAGTGTCTATAAGTAAACCCTTTTTTGAAGAAAACTTAAGAGGAATCAAGTGTGTAAAGTAAAAATGGAAGTTAGAGCTTCTCTCAGTGTGGTCCACGGACCAGCACCTTTCCCAGTGCTGGGAGCTGATAAGAAATGCACCTTCTTATCCTGCCTCAGACCTACTAGATCTTAACCTCTCTGGGTGGGGCCCAGGAATCTGTATTTTAATAAGCCCTCCAAGTCCGTCTAAAACATGTTTAACTTTGAGAAGCACTGTGGTAGAGTTTATATCACCTCTGAGACCCTCTTTGGTTTTAAAATTCAACACCCTTACTATACTCTACACAAGGCCAGAGAACTATAAAGGTTTTTGATCATGGGATTTAGTGATCAAATTGAAGTTGGCGGCAGATGAATTTTGTGAATGAAAGGAGAGGACCGAACAATGGGAAGACCATTACTAGTGGGAAGGACTGTGGTGTAGTTCAGGTGAGGAAGATGGGGCCTTAAAACAGGAAACTGGCAGTATGAGGCCAGCATCCACTAGTAAAATCTCCTTCTGAAACCAATCCTAACCCCACTTTGGGGTGTTACCAAAAAAAGTCCAGCAGATTTAATATCTAAGAAAATCTCTATATGTCCTCTGCAACAAAATTACTATTAATGGTATTTTTAATAAAGTATGTAGTTTATTTTTTTAGCTGATCAAGTAAATTGAGTCATTTCCATGTAACAACATAGCAGAATTTTTTAAATCTACTTATGTTGTTTGGCATAATTGACTCAATCTATTACTACTAGGTTTTTTAAGGCAGGCTTCTTTTGTGATATTTGGAAAACATCTTTACCTGTGTATATTTGCTCAAAAACACAGGTAAGGACCTGTGTATATTTGAAATGAGTAATGAGTGCAAGGCAAAGTGAAGGAGAAAACAGCGAGCGCACCTGGAAATGGTGCTCACACGCTATTCCAACTTTCAGAATCCCTTGTGGGTTTCTCTTTCCCAGTCCATACCGTGAGGAACAGTGTGACAGCCATTTTACTTTACCTGGAATGCAATGTCAAACCAGCATATTCACACCATTTATTCTTTAATTATTTAATTCATCAGGTTTCTTGAGTGCTTCCTGTGTTCCAGTCATTGAGTTTGGTGCTGGAACAGAAGGATGAGACAAGGAGGGCCCTCAGGACTCTGGCTCGGTCTGTGATGAGGGCATGCACAGACTACCAGGCACAGAGCAACCACTCCTAAATCGGTTGTGAGTGGTCAGGGAGGCTTGAAATACAAAATCTTGTGAATTTAGAAACACAAGTACTGAAGGTCATGAGCCAAATTATCGTATAGCAAAATACCATAGCTACTTTAGAGAGACAACTTGACTTGTATTATCACTTCCTGTGATGAATGAGCAGGGAACTATTTGGATGACAGGCTGATTACTTAAGAATGGAATAATGTCCTAAATTGTGGGGTCAGAAGTTGACCTTCTCTTTTTATTTATTTTATTTTCAAACAATTGGGATTTTGCTGTATGCTCTCCATTTTACTTGTGATGTTAATGAGCTTAAAGTGACTATAATTCTACTTAGAGTATCAATTTTCATACCAGTTCTCATTGTTATCCTAATAAGAGCTGCTTGCTTATTCAGAATGTAGCTTGGTATATGGTTTTTATTCTGTGTTTTACAAACTGAGCTTTGAGTATCTTGGAATCTTTTTTCTTTTCCCGTATTTATTCTGACCTTGAAAGGTCACTATGTTTGGAAAGGGTGAGACCATGATCTCACTCACTGGATTAGTTTATAATCATTTTAGTTTTAAGGAACCACAAGATCATCTTCAAACTGTGTACAACTTAGAACATATTAGTTGAAATTGCCATGATTGTTAGAAATGCCCACACACAAAGTACAACCAGATGTATCATATAGAAAAATATCCAAGCCATTTACTTTACATACAGAGAAAGATACTGCAGAAAATTCATCTGAGGAGCCCTTTTCAATTTATCCATTTTCAAAATGTTCTCTCTAAACTCTAGCAATACGGAATGCACCTGTTTCTGGGCTTTTGTTCAAAATAATGTTTGGGCCTGAGGGAGCTTTAGGTGAACAGAGGCTCAGAAAATTTCCTGAGCTCCATAACTGAACTGAATTCTCTCCCAAGTTGAGTAAGACAAGAATCAGAAAAAGCAACTTCCCCACATGGTGCCAGGTGTGACATAAATACAGCAGCAAGTTGCTTTAAATCTTTCCTAAGATGACAGAACAATAGCTAAGGTTAGGGTTATTATCACAGAACTCAGATATGGACGGCACTTATTGTTGCTTTTAAAAGAATTAAATTGCAGTCTGCAGACATAAGTATAGTATGCTGTTAAAACTTTGCAGATACTTGACTATCGCCCACAAGGAGACTTGCTGGCTGAAAGGACTGATAGATGGGATAATGGAGCATTTAATAGCTATGTTGCTAAATCCTTCCCATCCCAGGTTGGTAGTGAGTGAGAGTAGTTTAGTCCTTCAGATGGAAATTGATCCTCCGCAATGTGAATATCCTCTTCTCCCCCAAGCGTTCTTCATAGCTGTCTTTAAACAAATTTTAAAAAATCTGCCTTGAACTTTTGATGTAGGGTTCTGCCTGCTTTAATTAGAGAGCCAGTCTACAGTACACAGCCAGCAGCCACTCTGCACCCCTGCATCACCTTCCCTATACCTGGGGAATTTGAGAAAATAATGGTTTTCTTCTTTTTTAAGATTTCAAAGGTATCTGCTCTCATTTCCTCACAGTGGATGTACATACTTTGACTCAAAAAAATCCCTTCTGACTTGATAGCTTTGCAGTAGTGTTACTCAAGTTCAATTTGGGTGGAAGTCACCTCCCTTGAAAACTTACCAGGAGAAAGCCATTCTTGCAGCCAAGGGGTACTCAGGGCAAAAACCTCTGTGCTGCTGCAGAGCAGGTCCTTCTTCTTGTAGCCCTGATCCCATCCTGCTGGGCAAGGCCTCTGTGACCTGTGTGCCATGTCACTGGCAGAGGCCTCTGGTGGTGGAGATTCACAGGCTGCCCTGGGCTGCAGTCAGCCCGCAGCACCAGAAAGGGTGTGTCTGTAGAGCCAACCCTTTGTTTTCCTTGGTAGCTGCTACTTAAGATGGAGGAAAATAGATCCATCCACTGGTCAGGGAAGATGGGATGAAGACAGTAGTATGTTAAAACCAAATCATGTGTTTATAAAAACTTTATGAGGGAAATCGGCATGCTCTGCAGATTTCTCAACCATTACTCACATCATTAGTAGCAATTAAGCTTTTCAACATTCAGAACCTATAAGAGTTCAATCAATAATTGTCTAGTGGGTAATGGGGTAGAGGTGGAGGTCTGGAAGGCAAGATTGATAGACAAAAGTTAGCTTTGGACAAAAGTTATAAATAAGCCTACTATAGAAAATAATGACCTCTATTAGCAATGACCACTTTTAAACAGAGTAAACTATTTACATTCTTTATATGATTCAATGGCATAAAAATTATTTTTACCCTCTACCAACTCTCTAAATTACCATTTTCATATCAGAATATGGAATTTATATTAGAGTTGCAGCACATTTGAATTGCTAAAAGAAGGATTATAAATCTCAAGGGGACATCATTATTCTTGTTGTTGTCAGACTCATTATTGTCATCATCACCTTCATTATAGGTTTTCATCTAAAGCACACACACTTTGTGTGCTCTATACATACCCTTGCACACGAATGAAAATTTTAAATTTTTTATTGTTCATAATTTAAGTAGAAAATGCCCCTAAATTATCATTTATAAGAATAGTACATATGTGTGTATATGTGGATATATACAAGTGCACATACATGCTTACATGCTATTTTTCTTTTTGAATATTTTATGTAAACATTAATAAAACAGTAATGAATTTTATTTCAAGTGACACATATACTTTTATATTAAGCTTTAAAAGTCTTTTATTACCTAGTTCTGATTAGTACTGAAACTTTGTTCTGCATATATTTATTTTTGTTCTTTCTTTAGTCTATTAACTGTTAGCAGTTTTGGTTCTGTATTTTAATTTTTTGTATTGTCTTTTTTTATTTTAGAAAAATAAGAATGATTTTATTTAATTGAGGGAAATGCTTTGTTAATGACTTGATTTAGTGAAACACTATATGGAAGATACTTTTAAATTTGTTTTACATTCGTAAGTGATACCAAAATTGTATGGCTTTCACAAAGTTTATATAAGTTATATATAGTATAAATAGTATCTCTTTAATAATTATGATAAAGCCAGTAATTTGGAGCTCATTTACAAAAGCAATGTGCATAGTTTTCACTTGGGATTTAAACATCAGCAATGGAAAGATTCTTATATCATGGTCCTCTAGCATACTGTGTAATAAATACTTATGGATTACTTCATCTTACAACCGCTATCATATGGCCTTTGCAACCTGGGCAACTTTTTTTACTTGTGAGGTCATTGCCTGTTACCAATATCATCGAAAAAAAGGTCAGCATTATTTATAATTTGCATTCTTGAAACAGAGGTATTGCCTTGTTATCTGATGAATCTCCAGAATTGTTCCAATTATGCTTTATGTGTATGTTTCCCGGTATAGATGTCATTTTGTTGTTATAGTTGTTGATGCTGTTTTCTTTGAACACTGGCACTTCTCTCTGGGGTTACAAACTATCTCTTTCTTCATTTCTGTCTATGTTTTTGTAATTTGGGTCTCTCGACACATTATTCTGTTTCTGCCATAAGGATGGAAAACCACAGTATTTAAAAGTCAGGATACTTGATTGTAGTTCTGTTTCTACAATTTACATTTTTATGAGATAGTCTTTGAAATCATGAATGAGATTATTTTTGATTCAGGCCAAGTATAAAACTTTCCAGATGAACTTATTTAGTTGTTGCTTTAAGCTGGTCATGTATACAATCTTCCTTGAAATCTGTGGCCCAATAAAATTTCGTCTTAAAGATAAGGGTGATTATTTTTAATAACCTACCTTTCTGTATGCTTTGAAGAGCGAAATCGAATAAAATAGTAACAATAAGCCTGAGATTCTTATTTCATCATAGTGAGCATAACAGTATAAAATAGGTCAATACGTTAATACCAAACTCATTCACTCATTTTAAGTTTTCAGATCCCATCTGATGATAATTTCATTGTTGGAGTTCTTCAAGATCCAACAAGATGCTTGCTTCTCAGGAGGTTTGAGGTGAACAGTATCAGAAAACACACAGTTGAGGAAACAAAAGCCCTTCAACTTTTTTGTCCTTTTCTCTCCAGAATCACCTTTTCAGCTTCTGGGAGAAAAACTTAAACATACACCTAGAGTTTCTACAAGACCTTGCATTTTCTTTTCACATCTCCACAGCAATGTGTCACAGAACAGCATGAGTTCACAAAGCTGGTTGCTAGATCTCGCTGCAGAATGCCAGCTCTTTCAAGGCTGCTTTACACATGTATGCAGCTTATTCCAAGTGAAAAACAAAGCAAAATGTAGTTGCTTTTTAGGGCATAAAGGAAATTGTGTATATTTTCTTGCTTTTCTTTCCCTCTGTCCAGTGGCTTCTCTCAGGATTCCCAAGGCTCACTGTGACGGGAACAGCTCGGTTTTCTGTTTGGCCCGCCTCATCAAGTGTAATGGAAGAAAATTCCTGTCTCTTTTAATGTGGTTGATGAACACTTAGTTGATGCTTTGTTTGCAAAGCAGAACTTACTCAGCGAACTGCTTTCCTTGCGGAAGGCACCATTGATGTATATTTGACCCATGTTGTGGAGGGGGTCTCTGAACACACATTGTTCTGATGAGTATGGCTGTAAACACCCACTAGGAGAAACTGGGGTATTATAAAGCCTAATCTCTTCACACATTATTTTTATATCAGGATATTTTTAATATGTTTACTGACTATGCCCATGTGCTTTGAAATTTTTGTCCTGTATATTGCTGTATTATTGCTTACCAACAAGTAAGATAATGCTGGCCTGGCAGAAAGAGAGCTATAGACGATGCTTACTTTCTGTTCGCACAGAATCCACTGCAGGAGCCATTCTTTAAGTAAAAAGCCCACATAATTTCTTGCAGCTCTCCAAATAAATGCTATCACTCTATTTTAGAAAATTATCATTACGTCAAAGTCTTCCATTGGCTTTCAACTCTAAAAGAAAATCAATAACATGTTTTAACAGATATTCTTCACTCAGAATATGCCTGTTGCACAATATTGCATAACACCAAGGGGAACAGAGGTTAGCATGCACCAAAAGGATTATTTATTTAGAAGTGTGTGCCACTGATGTTGTGATCAACCATTGTTGGATGTTTGTAGCATTAGATGTATCGTAGTACATTTTGAGCAGAGTTACTTTTATTTCAAAAGGCCAGATCTAGAAGGTAAGCTAAGACCAGTCTATGAGAAGGCAGAGAATCCACAGGGCTTGGTCTACACAGCACAGTGCACACATCTAGTATCTGATTTGGGTGAGAGGCACAATCAGCTGATGACCTTCTGACCAAAGTATTTAGCCAGCAGGATTGAACATTTCTCTATAGGATATAATTAACCTAGGTAAAAATGCCACTTCCTAATCACTAAGGCAAAATATTTTATCTCAAAACCAATTCAAGTAACTATTAGCTTTCAGGTTTATTCTTTTGATAAGCCTTTCTTTTCCCCATTTGGCTACCAACTGTGGACTGAAGGACACCTATGCATGGCTAACAGTGGCTAGTTTCCACTAATCTCAGTTCAGAATTGTCATTCTTTGGGAAAAGGGAGATCAGCTTATATTTTGTTCTACTATTAAACTAAAATATGTAACCATTGAAAACATTCATCAGCATGGCTTTCAAGTTTGTACCTATCAACTTTCCTACTTTTGTTAATTACTGTAGCAAATTTTTATTTATTTACTTGGCATTGAATTTTAGTTTGTTGTGTATACAGTGATATAAACTGCTATTTAATGTCAGGATGTGCTAAACCTCATTGGGAAGACTTAGAAAGGTTAACCTCTCAATTTCCAACCATTCTAAGCCGTAATTAAAATTTAAGATGATTCCATATTTGGAGCTCACAAGAACAATTAGATATCTCTTTTCTCAAACTTGAGAAAATTGTACTTGATTTTATTTTAATTTTACTGAATTTACCAAATATTTCTAAGTCAATCTATAGGAAAGGATGTGATTCCCTTCTCATGAATGATTTTGTATTTTCGTCCTGCAGCCCAGCTCCCGACCTGCAGCACAGAGCGGCCGGCACTCGGTGTCCGTGGAGGTGCAGATGCAGCGCCAGCGGCAGGAGGAGCGCGAGAGCTTCCAGCAGGCCCAGCGCCAGTACAGCTCTCTGCCTCGGTACTTCTGAGACTGCGGGCTTCTCCACCTCACACATGGTGGTCAGAGAAGGACCACAAGTGGGTGGTGGGGGTTGTTGCCTGGCATAGAGGCCATCTTAGTATGTGGCAAGAAGACTAGACAGAAGGGTGTATCAGGAGATGCCAACATGATCACTCAAAAACTCCATAATGACCTGACATGACAAGTGACCTGGCAGATGAGTACTTAGGGACTGGACCTGGATCATGGTATTGGTTCTGCAGCCTCCTATGTGACCATGGACAAGACAGTTTCCTCATCTGAAAAATGGAAAGATAACCTCATTTCGCTTAGTTCCTAGAGTAACTAGAGTAACTGATACTTTGTGTACCTAGTGCTCTGCAGAAGGGTGGGGTGATTGCTCCATGTATTGAACTTAGGTGGGTCCATGGTCCCTGACCGCGCCCTCTTGCTCTCCTGCCAGCTCCGTGTTTGCTTGTGTAGCTCCTCAGAGGGTCCCCATGAGTCCAACTCATTAGCTGACAGCCACATGGCAGTACCTCTGCTCCGGGGCTCTGTCGGGCCTGGAAAGTGCTCAGGGGATAGAGCCCTCACATGTGAAATAATGACCATTTTTTCATCTGAGTATTTTCTACATACATAGTAAAGAATAAAAATATTTTAAAATGTTCAGCTTTCCAAACTTCCCAAAACAAGTCACTCCTAGTAATTACAATCTTAATTTCTAATAAAGATGAGCCCCTTTGAATGTTAAATAGTCACTATAATAACTGTGAGGGCTTTGATCATACTGACTGGGGTCACCAAGGGAATGAGAATTTGTTCTAGGATAAGTACTATTACTATAGTAACTTGTTCATTCAGTTCTTTTTTTAGTTCATAAAATTATATGTCCTTTGAGGAATAAATTATTTTATTTTAAATAGGAGGATAACTAACAGTCATTTAGCCAACTCTAGGTAAGTGTCATTGAAGCTTAGGTCTGGACAGGGCCTGGAGATCATCTTGTCTTACAAAGAAACAGCTCTGAAAGATTGGGCATCTTTCCCTAAGGTCACACAGCTAGTATGGAATTCTGACAATGCAAACCCAAACCTTCCCGTGCCCTTTATAACCATTAATTTATATGGCTCACTGCTACCAAAAGCTTTGTTCCCAAGTCTGGAATATTGACAGATGTAGGTGTGAAGTCCTCCTCTGTGCCCTAGTGCCCCCAGCATTTGGAAAGAGTCCACTGTGTGAATCAGCCCAGTGCCTCCGCTGCTAGATGCCTCAAGGATTGTACATGAGGTTCTTCCATGTGAGTGCCCTTCCCTCAGCCCGCTGGCTTGCAGGTGTCAGGCAGATGAGCATGATAATGTAGATGAATTGACACACCTGGCATGGCCCTGCTGCCACAGCTGCATAGGTGGCCCATGTGAATGGCTACGATGTGCTATTGGAATATATTGTTTGTGCAGGGACCAGGATCTTAACCTGTTGGCAGATTGTTTGGTTTTCTGTATCTTAGTTGTGTTTGAGAGTATTTATAAGAAATAGAGGAGAACTATCATAAAGTGTATATAAGAAGAGGAGTGAGTGGACATGCACAGAACTGAGGAAGGGAAGTGGAAGAGATGGTGGCCAGAGGGCCTGGAAGGGCAGATGGCCTGATGGGAGAGAGATGAGGGTCTTGGTCCCTTAGGAAGAGCACACAGATCGATGCTTCCACAGAATCTGTCCTGGTCACATTCCCTAGGAGCTCAGTATTTCTTTTTTTTTTTTTCCTCACCCGAGGACATTTTTCCATTTTGTTGTTCAGGTAGAGTGGGAGGGAGAGAGAGGAAGAGAGAGAGAGAGAAAAACATCGATGTGAAAGGAACACATCGAGTGGCTGCCACCCACACAACCGACCAGGGCTGGGGACAAACTGCAACTGAGGTACATGCCCTTAGCGGGAACCGAACCCGGGTCTCTCCGGACCGCAGACCGACGCTCTAACCGCTGAGCCAAACCGGCCAGGGCAGAGCTCAGTATTTCAAACATATCCTTCTCTCCTGGCACGTCTCTCCCCTTCTCCACTCTCCACCTGTCCTTTTCCAGCACCTCTCTCTGCCTCCCTTCCTCTCTCTCCCTCTGCTTCTGGGGCACCTGGTAGAAGTATCCGTATTTGCATGTAGAAGAGGGTTGCTGCTGTTGGTACTACTGGTGTCATTTAGTGTTTCCCTAAATAACTAAAACTTTCCCTTTAAGTAATTGTGACTCCCTTACTATTAGCCATTTTATTCTGAGCAGATGTGAGAAAAGTAGAAAATCAAAAATGGAAGAGTTGTGTACATTTAGGCAGCTGGGGCTGGTCATGCTTCTTCTTTGAGAATAATTTCTCAATGTGAATCTTCACGTATGTGAGGAAGATTAAGAGTGTGGAGCCTTGTGCCCAGCCTGCCTGCCAGCGGAGCGGCTACCTTCCCGGCAGGCTGGGTGCGAGCCCTGGGCGAGGGTAATGGAGCCACGCAGGACGGGGAGGCTGCAGCAGCCTGCCTGAGCCTCAGTCCAGGCCACATCTCTGACATGTGATATTCTTCAAAGACACTGACCTCTGCCTTTCGGATGTTGACAATTAGCAGAGTTTTATCTAAACAAGTTGGTAGGGCATTTGATACCAAAAAGATTTCACACACAAAAAATAGTTCAGTTGCCAAGTGAAGCATAAAATAAAACAAATGGTCAAGACTTTGTCTCAGTCACGCTAGATAAGGTGATTTGAATTAGAGGGATATATGTGAGCCAGAGTGGCTTGAAATTCTAACTGTAATTAAGGAAGCCTGTGGGCAGAATTCAAGTTTCATTTTGAAATGTCAGTAGGAAACATTAGCCAGATGGTGACACTAGTTCTGAAGGGAAGGGGCTTGAGTGGCCCCACACTCAATTCTCAATCAGGCTGAGATTTCTTTTTTTATTTTTTAAATTTCTAAATTTGTTTTCTTTTTTTCTTTCTTTTTTCAAATCTGTTTTTTAGTCCTACATTAGTTCCTTTATTTAGTACCCAAAAGGCAACTCAAACTGAGCAGTATGTTCAGTCATAGTCACTGATAGAAAGACTTACTTAAGATCCTTTATTACTTTTTTAAGAATTTCCCTGCTTTCTCACCATTTCCTCTTTATCTTTTCCTCTCCTTGGTTTCACATCTATTGGTGTCTCACTTCTCTGCTTTGTATGTCTCACTTTGCTGTGTCTTCACACCCCGGCACAGTCTCCCCACCAGGCCCAGTTATTATGTCCCTAAGGTGCTTGTCAACTTGTTGGCTTGGTCTTTATGTCTTTCTTCATCCTTCTGCGTCCTCCTCACCTTGGTGGCAAGCTGGCTTTCCTCAGACATTGGGTCTTTGCTATGAATCCTCTGCACAATGATGGCCTTCAGATCACATTGGAGATCATTATAATCATTGATACAAACCAGGGAATGTGCATTCAGTAGATTCAGAAATCTCTAGTGGGCTCATTCCAAGACCAAAGAAGCCTGCATGTTGGTTATAAAGAAATTCAGTGGAAGGAGATTGATGTTTTCTTGCTGCTGCTGCTGCTGCTGTGCCTTTGGGCAATCATGAGACAGTCTAAAGCTTTCTTCTCATTTCTGTGCAGCTGTGTGGACTTGTCATCACTTAGTGAGGGTTCTTCAGTTATTCTCTAGGGCCTTGCTCTCCTCCTGCCTCTACCCAATTTCTCTGACAAAGGAAGAGAAAGGTAATATTTTCCTTTATTTTTCTTCTTTGGTCAGAAAAATGTCCAAAAAACCCAGAGCCTACTCTTCGAAGGCAAAGTGACATTGCCTTCAGACTACTCCTCCTACACCCATTAGTCAACCATTTACTCTGTGCCACACTTTTCTAAGCATTTTGCATTGTATTATTTTGTTTATTTCTGTCCCATAACCCTATGAGGTTAGATATTATACCTATTTCACAAATAAGGCAAGCTGGGCCCAGAAAGCATAATACTCCCGGTGTCACCCAGCCGGAAAGTGACAGATTCCAGATTTGAATCTATGTCTATCTGATTGTATGCCGCTCTCCCACTGTGCCTAGTGCTCAGGTGACTAGTATGCTAGTGTAGGAGACACTTGTCTGATGAACTGTTATGTTTCTCTGTGATTTGCTCATTTTCTGTGTCTTAAGAGTTGTGGGTACCGCTAGCTTCCTTACCAAGGAAGAGTGTGTGTGTGTGTGTGTGTGTGTGTACATGTATATGTATCTATGTGTATGTACTTTCTCTACATATCTTAGTTCAAACCTCAGGGAGGTCTGCTTCCTACTCTCTATGTGATTAATTTGAAGAAAATTTTGGCTAAAAGAAATTCTCGCACATCATCAGAGTTTTCATTCCTAGCAAACCATTAGTGATCTCTCAACGTGTTCCTGGAATGAGTCAAAGTTCATGCCCTGGCCAGCTTGGTTCGGTGGTTAGAACATTGGCTCATGGACCAAAGGGTTGCAGGTTCGATTTCAGTCAAGGGCACATACTACCTGGGTTTCAGGTTCGATTCTCTGCCCCAGTTGGGGTTGTGCAGGAGGCAAGCGATCAATGTGTCTCTCTCACGTTGATGTTTCTTTCTCCAACCACCTTCCTCCCTCCCTCTCTTCCAGTCTCTATTAAAAAAAAAAAAAAAAAAATCAATGGAAAAATATCCTCGGGTGAGAATTAACAACAACAACAAAAAAAATTCAACTTATGGTGCATGACCTCCACAGAGCGAATCCTCGGGCATTCCAGAGTTGGGGAGTGGGGCATGAAGAGGGTTTGTGGGTCTCAGGCCCAGGATAAGAAAGAGGTGAATGTCTGCAGCCTATTTCTGGTTATCTTTAGATTGATAACTAACTTATGAAGGAGTTCCACTTTTGTTGTTGTAACATCAATAACAAGTTAGTTGTTTTAATTAAAGTTTCATGATTAATGTCAAATCCCTGGTTTCATGCTAGCACTTTCCATCATTCCTGTCTCTGGGCAGATTAACATATGACTTTTTAAGTAAGATAATCAATGCTTTAGGCAAATAAACTATTCCATCAAATGTAAGGATTCTTGCCTGGTCTGATTATACAAATGGTCTGATTCCCCTTGGGAGAGAACCAGATAGACATATTGTAGACTGCTCAATTAATCATAGCCATATCCAAAAATGATACTGATTATTAGTTTATTTCCTTATTGCAAATATCCCTGACTACTTTTTAGGCCATATGGAAAATGGGCATATCTCATCCCAAACCATACTGATGGCACTTTCAAGTGTTCAAAAATGCAAAAGTGCTTCATCTCTGTGGGACACCCAGTGACGGCATAGACCGTTTTCCCTCTGCAGGGCCCTTTTGAACATTTCATCATGTGTGTGTGGATGTAAAAGGCTGAGCGATGCACACTGTCACCAGATGGTTTTCTTATAGATAAATGGAGCAATAGATTCTGTTTTATTACTCAATTCTCTCTCCCTCTCTTCCATTTTCAAAGCTAAAACTTAGGGCATGTCTTCCTTCCTAGCACAAAATTATTTCACTTTATCATAGCCAATTTTATTGTAAACTCATAAAAGCATCTAGACACTTGATAGTAAATTAAAGACATTTCAAAACAATAATGTTTTCTAAAAATGATGTGCAACTTTATTGAACAAATGATAAGAATTTGATTTATTCCCCTATCCTGTGATGAGCAAAAGTGAGTTTAGTAAGCTGTCCTGGCCTTTGGTGAGGGTGCGGTGCACGAGGAAATAGTGCTTGCTCTCCAGACCTCCGCGTCTGCGGTCTTGGGAGCGTGAGCGAGCGAGCTCGGGCAGCGGTTGCAGACGTATACGGCCTGAAAGCCCGGGCCGTAGGGACTGCCTGTTGCGTTTTCAATCATAGAGGAGCCTAGACTTAAATCTTTCGTAACCGAACTCATATTGTAATCCATACATGTACTTCCTGTGAGCTAGCATCTTGGGTATCATGGTGGCAGCTGTGTAAAATATTTGTTTTGCTTGTTTAGAATTGACTTGTAATGTTCTGAAGCAAGCAATTATTGCCGGGGTAGATGTTGCCAGATTTCTAATCCTCCTCTGCAGCATCTTGCCAATGTGTCTAAATTGTAGGAGATACATGTCACCCTAAGTAGAACAGACATTACCTCCCCAGGCACAAAAGGAGGACCCTGTTTCTGAATCGTTGAGTCAGTTGTCTCCCCTGTTTAGCCCACATTTGTTCACTGGTCTGAGACTTGAGCTTGCTGAAGACAGTCGTGTCTTCTTCCTCCAGCCCCCCGAGGGCTGGGCACATTGGCAGAGCATAATACTATTTGTTGAAATATTGAAATGCATCTTCTCCCTTACCCCTTTCCTCCTCGTGTTCTCTGTCCCCCTCTCCCAAGCTCACACTGACCTTTGGGTTTTGCTTTCTAGGCAAAGCAGGAAAAATGCCAGCTCTGTCTCCCAGGATTCTTGGGAGCAGAACTACTCACCGGGGGAAGGCTTCCAGAGTGCCAAGGAGAACCCCCGGTACTCCAGCTACCAAGGCTCCAGAAATGGCTACCTGGGCGGGCATGGCTTCAACGCCAGGGTGATGCTGGAGACTCAGGAGCTCCTTCGCCAGGAACAGAGGCGGAAAGAGCAACAGATGAAGAAGCAGCCCCCTTCCGAGGGGCTCAGCAACTATGACTCGTATAAGAAAGTCCAGGACCCCAGTTACACTTCACCTAAGGGGCCCTTCCGGCAGGACGTGCCCCCCTCCCCTTCTCAGGTCGCTAGGCTGAACAGACTCCAGACTCCTGAGAAAGGGAGACCCTTCTATTCCTGAGCAGGAGAAGAGCGGATGCTTCATTCATGCAATAAAGGACATTTTCCTATGGAGACTTGTATTTTGGGAGTTTTCTTAAAAACCTCCACGGTACTATAGAATATTTCTGTTGTTGGTATCAGTGCCTTTAAGCAGTATGGGCAAAGAAATGGAAGGCCTTAATGTCTTTGCCAGTATGTCACAAGTGTATTTCATGGAAGGATTTCCCACCATCTGACAATCATCTGCTCGAAGCATTTGTGTGCTTTGCATCTCTCAGGAGGACTAGGAATTCTTGGCCCCACTCAAGAGATGTTCATGGATTTGTGTTACAGCCCCATATAACTAGTGGTGACAAATTACCTTGAAGCTGAGGTAATGTTTATTTCCCTTTAACTTTTCTAGATGTGAGGTGACTCTCAATTTCTGGTGGATGGAAGTGGGTGACATATTCCAGAAATCGGGCTTTATGGTACTTCACATCACAGTCATTTATAATTGGCATGATTTTCCTTCTTTCTCAGCTCCTCAAATTCTTTCATGTTATAAAGAAGTAAGCCATATTCCAACACTGTCTGGTTATCAGGAGGCTCCTTTTGTAACTGCCTTATAACTCTACATTACCAATAAAGTGATCACTCTGGTCTGAGATTATAAATGCACTTGTTTGGCCATGTTCCTAACACCTGTTGAGTCACATCTCTGCATAGGGAAGGTGAGAGACGGGGCCCCGGTGGGGATAGACTGGGCCTGCCCATCAGCCTGTGTGGATCATGATGTGGGAGGTGGGAGCTAAGGAAACAATTCTCCCAGGATGAGCTTCTGGCCCAGTACATCCCAGTAATTATTTTAATTCGTTTTTGATTGACAAGTTAGCAGTAAGGGCATAGAGTGGGACAAAGATAGGTCAGTCATTTGGAGATTCTAAAAACTCATCTGCTTTCTATTGTTTCTCAAGTTGATTGGAATTGACGTGTGTCTAGTGCCTCTACATGCTGTATCTCTCCCTGGTGATGTCGTCCATGCGCCTAAGCCATTCTGCTACGAGACAGAAAAGACACTTCACAAAGAGAACATTCTGGTGTCCCCGAACAGTGGTGACAAAAGTGCTTCTCATGTCAATATTTTAATGTGCTTGTGAGTCACAAGGACCTCATTTGCTCTTGTGTTTTCATGCTGGTCTCAACATCATGTATTGTAAACCATGGCTGGGTTGCTAAAGTGCCTGCAAATCCCGATGTGAAAACGTTTGAGATAAAAGCTCAGCATACCGTGTATTAACAAAAAAAGACCTATACTGATATGCCTATTTCTTTTTACTGGCACATTGTATTTTGTGTCCACCTTTTTTAGAAAATGTGTGAAGTGTCCATACTTGTACCTGTGTCTCTTTTGCAATTCTGGGTAACGGTTGTATTTGTTCATAACGTGCGGCGATGTTTCAGTGGTGGTCCCGAGGTAAACGCGGTGGCCTGGAACGACGCTCTTGCGCACAGCCTGCCTGAGCGGTGAGAAATAGCTTTCTCTGTACATATGAGACTTAAAATAAAAGGCATATTTCTTCCTGTTGTTTGTGGTGTCTATAGTATTTTTGTGGAAACTCTCCTAGCTGGAGTGTTGTTGTTGTTGTTTTTAATGTATATTAATAGGTGTGGGTTTGTTTTTTCATATCTAGAGAAAATTGTAAGTTTCCTTGTATCTGTCTGTGCAAATGCAGCAATGTGTGATTGATTGCATATTTGAACACCTGAGGAGAGAGGGGACAGGAAAAGGGAAACATCTTTTTTTAAAAAAATTTTAAATTGATTTTTAGAAAGAGAGAGGAAGTGAGAAGAATGTGAGGGCGAGAGAAAGAGAGGAGAGAGCGAGAGAGATCTGTTGTTTCACGTATGCCGTCTTTGCTTGATTCTTGTATGTGCCCTGACTGGGGGTCAAACCTGCAACCTTGGCATATTTGGACAATGCTCTAAACAAGTGAGCTACCCAGCCAGGGCAAGAGGGACCTTCTTTTTTTTTTTTTTCAGGAGGGAGGGAGAGAGAGAAACATCAACGTGAAAGGGTAACATTGAGTGACCACCACCCGCACGACCAACCAGGGCCGGGGACAAACTGCCACTGAGGCACGTGCCCGTAGCGGGAACCGAACCCTGGTCTCTCTGGACTGCAGGCCGACGCGCCAACTGCTGAGCCAAACCAGCCAGGGCAAGGGGGACCTTCTTAACGAGTCCCATGGAAGGTCCAGGCTGCTGAAAGAAGCCTGGGGAATTCTAAAGTTAAAGGAGCCAATACAGTAGAACAAAATTTAAAAAATAAGACAGGCCCTGGCTGATTTGGTGAACTGAAGGGTCGCAGTTTCAATTCCAGGCCATGGGCACCTACCTGGGTTATAGGTTCGATCTCTGGTGCAGGTTGGGGTCATGCAGGAGGCAACCAATCAATGTGTCTCACGTCATTGTTTCTCTCTCTCTTCCCCCCTCCCTTCCACTCTCTAAAAATGAATGGAAAAATACCCTCCGGTGAGGATAAACAAAAAACAAAACAAAAAAAGACAGAAAACTACATAAATATTTCTATGATTGTTTTTTGCTCCCTTTGCATCAATTTGGCAAGCCAGATGTTTTGATTGAGTTCTAGCCAAATGAACGGTGAGCCTAGAGAAATGTCCAAATTCTTGTTCACTTCCAATACTAACCTGGTCTTTATTTCCCAAATGATGAAATAAGGCTTTGCTAAATCTTTCAGATGGACACTCATTACAATTTGTATGGTGCTTTGATGGTACATCCTAGCTATATGTGTTAAACACAAATATAGATGTGGTCCCTACCCAAGAGCAAGCCTCGCTAAGACCTGTCAAAATGCCTTTCTTGTAGAGTGTCTGGCATCAGTTGGTTGTCATAGCAGCCCTCATCATGTCACTAGATCCAAATTCTATCACCTCAGGATTCTAATAAGAGATGTATAACAAGCCAAATAAAGAACATGTCTTTGGTTCTTATATGCATGCACGATGTGGAAAGTAGAATAGGAAGATGGACAGATTTCTTAATTTTCTCACTGACCAGGAGGCCCATTGCAAATACCAAAACTGGCAGGTTATTCATCTCACTGAGAAGTAGAGCAGGAGAGGTGATACTGAATATTGTGGGTACCTAAATCACAAAGGAATTTGTACATTCACACTGATAATTTGAGCCATCCTGAGGAGGAGGAATAGATGTGGGTCAGCGTAGAAGTGAGAATAGGCTCCATGAAGCAACCTTGTCTGAATGAGCTGCCCTGTGGCTTCAGAACGGGGCTGTGCGCGGATCTCGGGAGAGTCCACAGGAAGAGCCAGGCAGGGTGTGGTCTGCACACACACTGTTCTGCCCCGTACCACACTTGGATGAGGATGGATGAGGAGTGACTCAGCTGTCCTTCAGAAAAGATGGTCCCACTATTACATTATCACCACTTTAAGACTATATAGTCTTATAAAGATTTACATAGAAATATAAATTGTAGCCCGGGCCAGTTTTGCTCAGTGGTTAGAGCATCGGCCTGCGGTCCAGAGAGACCCAGGTTCGGTTCCCACTAAGGGCGCATGCCTTGGTTGCAGTTTGTCCCCAGCCCTGGTTGGTCGTGTGGGTGGCAGCCACTCAATGTGTTCCTTTCACGTCGATGTTTCTCTCTCCTCTCTCTCTCTCTCTCTCTCTCTCTCTCTCCCTCCCTCCCTCTCTCCCTCCCTCCTTCCCTCCCACTTTATCTGAACAGAAAATGGAAAAATGTCTTCAGGTGAGGATAAAAAAAAAAAAGAAATATAAATTGTAAAAATAATATTATATAACATATCTATATTATATGTAATTCAAGCACCACCACTCCCTCCCTGTGGTCTGTTAGACCACAGACTGCTCAGAGGTCGAAGCACCCACAATTACACAGTATGTCCCATGTCCCATAAACAGGAAGGAGCATGGGAACTGGACTGCTCAGGTTTTCTGACAAGGACATCAAATATATCACATCAGAGGTAGTAAATTAAATGAATCTTCTATTTCTTTGAGTGGGAAAAATTTGTTTTATTAGAAACCCTTTATGAGAAGGGGCAGAAAGCAGGCAAACTGAGCTGACCACTTTGTCAGCAGCGTGCTTGGTGATGATCTGCCACCGCTGTAGGGAATCAGTGAGGGAAAACGGAGAAACATCTGTAACAAAAATGCCAGTAACCGCTGGCCAGTTTGGCTCAGTGGTTAGAGCATTGGCCTGTGGTCCAGAGAGACCCGGGTTCAGTTTCTGCTAAGGGCACGTACCTCAGTTGCAGTTTGTCCCCAGCCCTGGTTGGGTCGTGCGGGTGGCAACCACTCGATGTGTCCCTTTCACGTTGATGTCTCTTCTCTCTCTCTCTCTCTCTCTCTCTCTCTCTCTCTCTCTCTCTCCCTTCCCCTCCCTTCCACTCTATCTTAACAATAACAACAAAAGTCCTCGGGTGAGGATAAAAAAAAAAAAAGAATTCCATTTGATGCTATTGATCAATCATCCTTTGCTTAGCAAGAGAATTGCTTTCCCTTACAAGTTTTTTTCTTTTGGAGTTTAGATTTAAAGGATCGCCTTTTTCTCATTTTTAATTTTTTAAAGCAAATTATATGCACATTAGCCTACCCCTCCCGAGATGGGTCTGTTCCATACTGGACACAGAAGAAAAGTACAAGAAATAAGACAAAGTCCTTTCTCCGTGATGTTGAATAATTACTCACCTTTCCTCCTTAGCACTTATTTGCTCAAAGGATCAATTAAATGTGCGAAAAACATGCTTTTCTGAGTCTCAACTAACTGCTGCGCCACCTCACACTGTTGTTGGCTTATAAAAGCCATTTGGACTTTGTCCCCAGACGCTTCGGCTGGGTATCATGGGAGCATCTGCTGCTGGAGGTGGGGCCAGTGGCAGGAGCCTGTCTCTGAGGCAACTCTGCTGCTTGCTGGGAGGCTCCTTTTGAAACTGTAGTTTGGCTTCCTTGAGGGGTTTTATGATACAAATATTTTAAGTACAACTTTGAAGATTTTGCCATTAAAAACAGTCTCACATGGCTTAGGGCCCAGCCGACTGCAAACTGGGAGGGGGAAGAGTTTCACATATTGCTGGCAAGTGACAGGCAGGGAAACCACGCACATTTCTAAACCAGTCATGACCCTGGCTAGTGATTCCACTTTAGGGGTCAGTTCATATCGGACTTGCTTTCATTTAGTTCTAGTTGTCACTGGCAACATACTTATCACAATTGTTTATATTGAGATGAAATGGGTAAAAACATCAGCCCAACACCCTAGAGATGGGTCAGATTAGGTAACTTGCCAATGAATGTGTGGTATTTTGGAATACTGGAAACCTTTGAACTTGTCTTGTGAACCCTCAAAGGGAATTTGCCCTGCACATGCCTTGACCTGCAAGTCAATTTCCAAACTTTTCTTAACTTTATCTACTTGGCTTGCCTTCCATCTGAACCCAGGGATCTCCTCCTCTCTGGTCCAAGCAACCGAGGCATTTCATAAAACCCGCAGAGTGCGCAGCTGCCCCTGGCTGCTTTATCCACAGAGCAAATTATAATTTGTACAATACCCTCTTCTTTTTGGACCTATAAACCCTGTGAAGCAGGTGAGAAAAATGATAGTCCAACTTAAAAAAATTTTTTTATTGTCAACAGTATTACAGACGTCCCCCATTTTTCCCCTTTGGTGCCCCCACCCAGCCCTGCCCCACTTCAGGTCTTCAACACACTATTGTCTGTGTCCATGAGTTATGCCACATGCATATAATTCTTTGGTTAATCTCTTCCTAAACTCCCCCCAGCCCCCTTCCTTCTGAGATCTGTCAGTCTGTTCCATATATCCAGGTCTCTGGATCTATTATGTTCCTCAGTTTATTTTATTCATTAGATTCCACATAAAAGGGAGATCATGTGATATGTTTCTTTCTCTTACTGGCTCATTTTGCTCAGTATAATAATCTCCAGGTCTATCCACACTTCCTTAAAAAGTAAGAGCCCTTTCTTTTTTACAGCTGTATAGTATTTCAATGTATATATATGTACCACAGCTTTTTTATTCACTCACGTACTGATGAGCACTTGAACTGTTTCCAGATCTTAACTATTGTAAATAGCACTGCTATGAACATCCTTTCTGATTGGTGTTTCGGGATTCTTAGGACATATTCTCAGAAGTGGGATCATGGGGACAAATGGCAATTCTATTTCTATTTTTTGGAGGAAACTCCATAATGTTTTTTATAGTGGTTGCACCAGTCTGCATTTCCACCAACAGTGCACTAGAATTCTCTTTTCTCCACACCCTCATCAGCATTTGCTGTTGATTTGTCGATGGTAGCCATTCTGGTGTGTGTGAAGTGATACATCATTGTCATTGTAATTTGCATTTCTCTGATGATTAGTGACATTGAGCATTTTTTCATGTCTCTTGGCCATTTGTATGTCCTCTTTGGAGTAATGTCTATTTATGTCCTTTGTCCATTTTTTAATTGGATTGTTTGTCTTCTTTTTGTTGAGTTGCATGAGTTCTTTATATATTTTGGA